ATGTACTCCTACACTTATAAGAGGACCTCCGAGTGTGAGATCAAGAGGGCATTCTCTAAGAAGGGGTATATCTAGGGGACGTTCGAGAGGTCCATCAAGACGTGTGATATCAGTAAGCCAAAGGCCGCGAGGCAGACTGCCAACTCGTTACCGTGGATCAAGGGTACGTGCTCGAGGTATTTCTTTTCGTCACTATTACTCACCAGAAGACTGGAATGGCACAAATTTTTCTCATATAATACCTGAACTTAACCAGCCATCTTATAAACCACGGGAACTACATGACTGGCGTCCTGAAGACTTTCTTGCCGACTATGTCGATGACCAGCTATTGCAAAATATCACAGTACAAACAAACAGGACTTACATTAAAAATTACGGGAGGTCACTGGGTCTCACTGTTAAGGAACTGAAAGTATTTTTTGGTATTACTTTTGTTATGTCTTGCCTTAATTATCCTCAACTACGTATGTTCTAGTCTAAAAAATGGAAAATTCCTATTGTTGCTGAAAATATGACTAGAGATAGATTTTTCAAGATACGAACATCTTTAAAAATTGTATTTGATGATGAAATATCCTCTTCAGAAAGAAGCTCTGATAAATTATGGAAAGTGAGGCCTCTTTTCGATAGAATATTACTAGGGTTCTTAAAACAAGAAAGAGCACAACATATATGTATTGACGAAATGATAATACCATTTTCAGGGAGCTGTCCAATACGGCAATATGTGCCAAATAAACCACATCCATTAGGTTTAAAGGTTCTGGTTTTAGCTAATCCAAACGGAATAATATGCGACATGTTTGTGTACCAAGGAGACACGACTTTTACCGATACTATGAGAAGCATTTATTCGGTCAATGAGTGTTCTGTTCTTCAACTAACTGAGTCTTTAGTTCCTGGACACGTCTTATACTTCGATAGATATTTCACCTCCCTTACTTGGCAGAAACACTTTTTGATCGTGGTTTCCTGTGTTCTGGAACCATAATGAAAAACCGTATCTCTCAAAATGTGCTGCTCATGAAAGATCGTGATATGAAAGAAAAAGGAGGTGGATGCTGTTTTACAACATACTCTACGGATGGGAAGTTAGCAATAACAAAATGGTTTGACGTTTGTCGACGTGCTATGCGGCTGAAAATAAAGATTTTTGCTCAAGATGGTCAAAGACAAAGAAGGCTTACGAATCGGTTAGTAGGCCAGAAGTAGTAAAACACTACAATACTAATATGGGGGGTGTTGATCTCGTAGATCGTATGCTCGCTGTTTGCCCTTTCAGAGCAATAACCAAAAAATTGACGATCAGGTTCATTTTTCATTGTTTTGATATAGCTGTTACCAATGCTTGGCTTCTTTATCGCCAAGAAGCAAACAAAAAAGGCACGCTTAGTAAAAATATATTACAGATGAGAAGTTTTAAGCTGATGCTAGGAGAGCAAATCATAGAACACAACACTGTAAGCTCGGATTCTGAGGAGAATGAGTCTGATTTCGAGGCTGACTTGGCCCCTAAACATAAAAAACGTCGTATTCTGATTCAACCTGTGCCATCTATAATTCGTCGTACACAAAAGGCTGAACATCTACCGATAATGACAGATAAGCAAAGCAGATGTCGACAAAAGGACTGTGATAAAAAAAGTAGAACTAAATGCTCTAAATGTAATATTTATTTATGTGTAACTGTCCAAAGAAACTGTTATTTACAACTTCATACCTGAAATTTAAAACCAAAATTTCAAGTATGAAGAACCAAAAACCGATGTTCCTAATAGTTGTTAAGATTATTTTGATATTTTGAAAAATTAGTATTTGTTGTAAAGACTTAATTCGTTTTGAGATTTTTGTTTAAATGTTGATTTTCATTAGTTCCTTCCTTTAATCAGAGAGTTTCTAAGATTTTTGTTTTGTTTTCTTTGATTCTGTGTTTATTTAGAATATTTGTGATGCCAAAACTAAATACTAAAAAATAAGGAAAATAAAGTTGATTTTCATTTAATTGTAGTTTTATTTTAAAGTGTACTCATGTGATGACACAGTCCGCTTGTACTCGTACGAGAACATAAGGAAAAACCTTGTGGAACAACGATGTATTTTTTTTTCTATTTTTCTCGTACTAAAAAACCCCCCTAGACGCAGTTAAAACAATTTTTTTTAAAATTTGCCTATCACCACGTTCAGGTCTCAGGAGGTTAAGATTAGTAACAAATTTTAAGTACTTACTTGTGGAATGTAATAGTACTTTGCTTTTGGTAACGAGTTTTACATATTACGCACACTCTCATTATTTTTTAAAATAATTCTTATTATGTAACTAAAAATATTCACCATCAAACCACATAAAATACTATTGTTTTTTAGTTTAAAAACTTTAAAATACAGAGATAATGATTTCTTATATTTACGCGAACACTACACATTTAAATAATACTAGTTTTTACGGGTTTTATCGCGTATATTTAACTTTTTAAATACCCGACATTTCGAGCACTTTACAGCACCCATGGTCACGGGGGAGACTGAGATGTTCAGCCAGATGTTCAGCAGTTCAGACTGAGATGTGGCCACAGTCGAGCGTGTACCTGCTGTACTGCCATATGTTAGAGGAGTCACTGACAAGACTGGCTACATCTTGAAGCATGCTTCCATTAAAACATACTTCAAGTCGTCGAAGAAGGATGGTCAGTTTTTATCATCAGTCAAGTGTAATGTCCCTCTGCAATATGCAGGAGTGTACAAGCTTGATTGTGAATGTGGTCTCTCCTACATAGGACAAACTAAAAGATCAATTAAAACCCGCGTTAAAGAACATATAGCTGATGTGAAGAATCGACGCCACAAAACGACGACCACAAATCCTCGCTAACGAACACCGATTCCTTCCAAGGATGATTCGCGAGGCTATTGAAATCAAAAAACATCCTAATTTCAATAGAGAAGATGGCTGGGTGCTACCATCTACTTAGGATCCTATAATTAATAAAATTAAAACCCAACCCAAGCATACAACCGCAAGACTTCAAGATACTATAAGTTCATACTGCGTAGATCGAAACAAGAATTAATAATTTTAATCTATGGTAATCGCTATCCTCGTTAACTATGACATCTAGACATTGAACATCTCAGTCTCCTCCGTGACCATGAGTGCTGTAAAGCGCTCGAAACATCGGGTATTTAAAAAGTTAATTATACGCGATAAAATCTGTAAAAACTAGTATTATTTGAATACAGAAATAATATTTAAATAAAAAAATAGACTGGCATATTGTCAATTTTAGTACCTGGGACGGAAAATAGTCGCGCATCAAATTGGCACAGATATTTTGTATGGTACAGCCAGTCCAGCGTACTTGTATATATGGAGGTCAGTGTGGATAGGAATCAAATTACATAATCACGAAAATATAATATTGATGAAACTGAAGTGACTGCAGTCCACAAACTTAAGAAAATTGTCTCCACGAGGACAAAAACAAGTAGCCCTATCATTTCTGCTGAAAGGAATATCCTCGTAACTCCCGTATATGCCATTAATGCCTCAGGAAATTCCATCCCATAATATAAATTACAGCCCATATTTGTATTTCCAAGGCTCAGGTACGCAGATATTTTGATGTGGGCACATGTAAAATGTGTAACAGGAGATAAGATCTCATTTGTGTGTCTCAATTCTAATTCCGATGAAGACTGGTTTCATATTTTACCCACTTTAATCAAAGGGTTGATTACTTAAGAAGTGAAGATTTTGTTATTATAAGTGGCCTGTGAGTCTAAAGTACCTTTATAGTTTAAAAAAGAAACAACATGTTTTTGTTCATATTTGAATAATTTTCTATTAGATTAAGAATAAAAGTTAAAAGAATAAAATCTGTTTCAGCGTGTCTAAAGTTTCTAATGCTAAATCAAAAAGAGAAAGCTGGTTTTCAATTTCTACTGTTACAATTTGCCCCAAGCCTGTTACAACTAGCCCCAACCACGGGGTAATTTGTAACACTTGTCACTTTTTTTTCTAAGCTATTTTTACAAGAATTCGTCACAGATTTGATCAAAATTTTATTTGAATCTATATCAATCATTGAATAGTAGCTTGTTTGAATAGTAGCTCGTTTGAACAGTTGCTTTATTTCCTAAATACCCAACAAGTAAGCTTACTAGCCAAGAAACGAAAAATTGTTACAACTAGCCCCCCCGCTCCCCTACATTCAATTAGATAATTATATTATACATATCTCATAGCAATAGACTGATAAGCTCAACGCTTTTTACTTGTGGTATTAATGTACAGAATGTTATACTTTATTTCAAAACAAAGTTTACAAATTACTAGTGATCTACCAACAATTTCAAAATTTACAAAAGTTGACACTCAACAACGTTTTAACATCTGCAAGATGTACAGTTGGCAACACTGAACCTAATTTGATGTTAAAGTGAGCGTACGAAGCGTGGTGGGTCGACACAACTGCACTGAGTGGTGTTCGACAATGTACATAACTTACACGTGCTAGGTTAAGACGCGGCCGCACTTAGCGGCGCACCCACAAACCGCCTCTTGTGCCGCCTGCGAACAACAAAACAAACAATTCACAATAAAATTGTGTCTATGGTGAGAACAATATATCCCCTAATACAGGGATGGCGAACCAATGGCACGCGTGCCATTGCTGGCACGCGACGAAATAATTTCGGCACGTCACTGATTACGAGTTTAAAGAAAAAAGTATAAATTATGATTATGATGTAGCATAATACCTATGAATCTTTGAAAAGCAAACGCGCGCGAGCGTTCGGGTCCGGTGCGCGGGGTGGAGGCGGGGCGTAGTTGCTATGCTAGCGCGGGGAATGCGGCGGTGGCGCGGGGCGCGGGAGTAAATAATAACAAACAAGGCGCAGTGCCCGCGCAAATTGTTTGTTTACGCAAAAAATAGTTAAATTTCATTGTGAAAGTGAACTTTAAAGTTTATTTAAGTTATTATTTGCTGTAATTTAAGATGGCTAGTTCAGCAAAGAAACTAAAAGTGCAAAATAGCAAGGATACTAGAGAATTTCAGACTTGGTGGACTGATAAATTCGGCGTGATTAATAAAGGTGACAAAGCAGTGTGTGTTTTATGTTCTGGCATCATGGTATGTAGAACATCTTCCGTTAAACGGCATTTTGAAACAAATCACAAATCAATTTGTCAAAAAAGCGAAGCAGAGCAAAAGGAATTAATTGCGAGTGCTTTGAAAGACAGAAACAAACAGTCAACATCAATAAATAAATTTGTTGGCAAAAATTGTCATACAAGTGCGGCAAGTTACACGGCTGCAAATGTCATTGCTCGGCATAGTAAACCCTTTCAAGAAGGCGAGTTTTTAAAGGAAGCCTGGTTAGCATGCGCGCCTTCTCTTTTTGCTGATTTCGAGAATAAAAATAAGATAATTCAGCGCATCAAAGATACTCCTTTGTCCAGAAACACAATAAAAGAAAGAATCTTAAAATTGGCTGAAAGTGTTACAGAGCAACAAAAGCTTGACATTCACTCTGCTTCATTTATATCGCTATGCCTCGACGAAAGCACTGACGTCACAAAATCTGCACGTTTAGCTGTTTTTGCTCGATACTGCGTAGGAAACGTCATTAAGGAGGAATTAATTGCGATAAAATCGTTACCAACAACTACAAAGGGCGCAGATATTTGTACGGCAGTTAAAAATTCGATAGTTGAAAAAGAAATTGATATAAAAAAAGTTGTTTCTGTAACAACTGATGGTGCTCCGAGTATGGTGGGTAAAAAAATTGGTTTCATAAGTTTATTTCAAACTGAAGTAGGACATTCGATTCTTGAATTCCACTGCATCATTCACCAACAAGCCTTATGCGCTAAGAGCGGTTTAACATCTCTTGATAATGTTATGGCAGTAGTTACGAAAATAGTCAACCTCATCTCTGCTCAGGCTTTAAACAAGCGAAAGTTCGACGCTTTGTTGGATGAAGTCAACTCCGTGTATAATGGCTTACTCATGTATAATAATGTTCGGTGGCTGAGTCGTGGGTCTGTACTTGAAAGATTTGTTGAATGCTTGGAAGAAATCAGACTATTTCTGCAAAATGAGGGAAAAATTGAACAATACCCACAGCTTTTTGGACGTCATGTGGCTTTCAAAATTGATGTTTTTTACAGACATATGCCAACACTTAAATACGTTAAATGTGAAGCTTCAAGGCACAAACAAAACAATAATCGTCATGATCGATCTCATTCGCGCCTTTGAGGCTAAACTGCAAGTTTTCAGAAACGATATTATCGCAAAAAACTACAAGTATTTTCCATACTTGAAAAAAATATATCAATGAATCTGATATACATGAGACAACAAATGCAGAAAATATTACTGAGGAATTTATCTCTGTGATTGATTCTTCAATTAAGGAATTTTCAACAAGATTTTCTCAGTTCAAAGAATTATCAGAAACGGTCAAGTTTATTATGTACCCAGATGTAACGACCTTTCATACACTGAACTTCTCCCAGTTCGATTAGTTGGAAATTGAAGATTTTGAAATGCAGCTGATTGATTTCCAATCTAGTTCAATTTGGATACAAAAATTCATAGACATGAGAAAAGAAAGAGTTAATTGAAACAGAAAGATTGACCAGTAATATAAGTAAAGATGCCAATAATTTAAATTTTAGAAACCTGGAATGCGTTGCCAGAAACATTTAATTGGTTAAAGAAGCTGGCTCACGCTATTCTAACTGTATTTTCATCAACATATGCCTGCGAGTCATTGTTTTCAGAGATGAATAACATCAAAGACTCTGTTAGAAATAGACTGACTGATGAATCAAGTTCAGCATGCATTCTGCTAAAAGTAAAATCGTACAACCCCAATATAAGTCAATTATCGTCCAATCTGCAACAACAGAAGTCGCACTAATTTTTAATTGCTCTTGTAATTGTATTTTTGGTAAATATAGAGCTTTGAGTTGATATTGTTTTTTTACATTATTTTTCCACTGATCACAAAGTCAAGAATATTTGATGGCACGGCTGCGACGTCATTAAATATTATTCCAGAAAATTGGCACGTATACGCATAAAGGTTCGCCATCCCTGCCCTAATACAAATTTCACCCATGACAGCTAGTCTCAACCAAGACTAGTAAAAGTAGCTAGTCCACAAGGACAGATGCACTCTCTATTCCCTCACTCTCAAAGTTAGATGGGACGGCAATTCGATACCTCAGGTGAGATAATAATATAATGGTCCGACCCTGGATTCAAATCCAGGACCATATGATCAGCAGTTGAGCTTACAAACACTAGGTGGTGGGAGTCCCACTTTTCGGCCTTTAGTCAATTCCTTGGCTTTCGAGGTGCAAACCGCAGGCAGTGGAAATACATTCAATTCAATGTTTATGGTAAAAAAGTTGTTTACAATTCGGCAGCATTATAATGACACACACATACACAAACGCGCGCACGTGCGCACGCACGCATACACACACTGTAGGGGGTCTGTTTGTTTATTATCTGTAACCAATGTTTAGCCTGTCTAATCTGTTTAGCCAATGGAGGTTTTGAGGAGAAATATTTTACAGGTTTCATTAAGGGGAAGTTAAATTGTTAGGAAAATTTTATGTTGAAATTAGAAGTTTATTTTTGAAATATTAGTTCTATATTATATTAATTAAATAAGAATACATAAACTGAACGACGGATATTCCTAAAAGTAAAAAAATTATACAGAAAAATAAAAATGTGCAAATAGCAACCATCAAAATGTTGTTATAAGCATATAGAAACCAAAATACTTTTATTTGAATTGCAACTATAACTTCAGCTCAGACCCAACTAGCATATGGGATGGGTACAAATAGTTACCTGACAATGTGGTGCGTATGTGCGTCTCAGCTAGCGGGTGGCATGGCCGCCTCGTTGGCTCGTTCCGCTCTCAGCCACTCTACAAATTCGTCAAGCATTACTGGCCCTGAAATGTATTTACATATTTTTGAAATTAAAAATCGAAATTACTTTATAAGTCCCACTACTAGGTACAAGCTTTCACTAACATCTGAGGGTTTCTAGAAAAGAGATGAGCCCGATGTGCTGTACTAAGTAGGTATATGGGTGCTGACATAATAACAGCGTTGTAGATTCTCTGCAACACATGCTAAGTCAGAACCCTTTCATTGTCCTTCTAAAAATATCATTTTTGTATTAGTTTAACTTTTAAATATTTTATTACTTTTGGTCAGTGAATAAATAATTTATTATTATTATTATTATTACTAAATGGGTGTTGGATGAATTCACATGTTTTCAATATTATAAAAAATATAATAAATTTATATATGGTAGAGCCATGCTGCAGTTATATTAGTATTAGTAGTATAGTTGTAGCACGAATGGGTCGGCTCAACCGGGGAAGGACCACGCTCTCACAGAATACCAGCGTGAAATAGAAGCTTAATGCTGCTGTATTTCGTATGGTGAATGTAAAGAACCGGAGACCATTTTTACTGGAAACGAGGTATTCCATCTTAATCCTCACGGGTGACAACGTATCTGCATTTTGTTTTGTAATCGAGGAAAGATGTAGATGTCTATGGACCGCTGCAACCACTTACCATCAGGTGGACTGTGTGCTCGTTTGTCACCGTCGTTCGTTATTCTAAGAAGGCGTTTTTTTCCTGCAAAGACAAATTACAATTGTTATTAACAAAAAACTAAAAAAATACGGGTTTCTTTTGGAAACAGCTCCAAAACTATAAGGAATAATGAAAATCACAAAAAAGTTCCTTAAAGAGGAGGATATTCGCAACAAAAAAACTCCCAACTCGCGGAACTCTTTTCCAATATTTATCATTTTAATTTAACGCTGAAAATAGACCTCCGTGCGGCCGTTATGGCATGCGCGCGTACGCCTTTAGAGGGGCAATATTTTTTTATAACATATAATGTTATTTAAAAAATTTGCAAAAATTCTGGTATCATCTGGACACTTGAAAGAATAAATCGTCGTTGGAATAAGAATTTCATGTCGATTTTTCAAAAAGTTATACAACTGTTAACTACTTTTTTCACTTATACTAACTTATTTTTTCAACTAATAATTGACCTATTATTTAAAATTTTATGCCGACTCTTGTAAAAGCAGAAATTAGAAATCCTTCACCTACTACTGGCACCTTTACGTGACAGATCGTAGATCGTGTGTTCGATTTCTGGTAGACACTGGAAGAGACTTATGCGCCTTCCCTCGATGTGCGCTTCATTAACGATATGCGAAAACGGACTACCAACTATGTGCAGCCAACGATTCACTAATTAACACTATATATATATATATATATATATATATATATATATATATATATAGGGGTTAACTGTTCGCTTAAACTTAATTTAGGCCTCCGTAGTGACTGTGTGGTGCTTTACTGTAGCTGTCATAACTATTATAGGCGTAGGTTTTTGTCCTATTTCAACCCCTTATTGTTGATATACGTAATAAGCTTTTAATTGATGCCACCACTTATCAGCTGTAGCTTGCATTGTTGTTAGTGATGACCGTATATCTAGTGTAAAGGTCGACTGGTGATTTATAATATAGCCATTTATTTCCGAACTTTGGGGTTATATAATATTTGTGTTTGAGTTCCTATACTAGTTAAAGTAAGTCCCTCAGTTCGGTGTGCCTTTTGGCATAGGCCTCCTCCAACTGCTTCCATTGGGTTCTGTCTGCTGCTACCCTTGTCCAGTATGGTCCCAAGGTTAGGCGGATATCGTCTTCCCATCTTCTGATTGGGCGGCCCTGTTTTCTGACTCCATCTCTTGAGTACCATAGGGTTACCTGCTTGCTCCATTTATTGGTCTTGCAACGAATCATGTGACCTGTCCAGCCCCATTTCAGATGGTCGATTCGGGTCAAAATGTCAGCAACCTTGGTTTTATTTCTTATTTCCTTGTTGTTAATTCTATCCTTGAGTTTTATTCCCAACATACTCCTCTCCATTGCTCGTTGACATTTCGCAAGTTTCTCCCGGTGGTTTTGGTTGAGGGACCACGTCTCACAACCAATGTGATGCAGGGGAGAATACAGGTGTTAAATGTTTTCTTCTTGATAGAGATGCTTAGCTCTTTACTTTTCATTATTTCTCTCAGAGACCAGTATTTTTTCCAACCACTAGCAATCCTTTTGTTAATTTCCTTAGTTGTTTGGTCACTAGGGGCAATTACTTGACCCAAGTACATATACTCTTGCACATATTCAAGTCTTTTTCCATCTAATTCTATGTTGACTTTTGTAGAGTTGGTCATCAGTTTTGTTTTGATTGTGTTCATTTCGAGACCGGCTTCTTTGCTTCTGTTGGCTAGAGTTTGTACCATTGCTTGTAGTTTACTTGGGTCTTCTTCCAGCAAGATAATATCGTCAGCAAACCTCAAAAGATTTAAAAGACTGCCATTGATGTTGAGGCCATATTCATCCTAGTCTAGTCTTTTGAAGATATCCTCCAGCACAGCCGTAAACAGTTTGGGGGACAGTGGGTCGCCTTGTCTGACGCCTCTATTAATGGGAAATAGGTCTCCTTTCGATTCCAGTTTTATGCGGCTTTTGCTCATGCTATAAATGTTTCTGAGTATCTTAATATAGGTATTATCTACTCCTTGCCATCTCAAAGCTGACCAAATGTATTTATGTTTCAAACTGTCAAATGCTTTTGAATAGTCTATAAAAGCTATGTAAACGGGTTTTTGGTATTCATTACTTTTTTTCCAATATTTATTTGATAGTGTGAATGTGTGCTCAATTGTGCTGTAGTTTTTTCTGAAGCCTGCCTGCTCTATGGGTTGATTTGCGTCTAGAGTTTTTGTAATTCTTTCTAGCAATACTTTTGCGAACACCTTATAGACTTTTGAGATCAAACTAATTGGTCTATAATTGTCAATGACTTCCCTAGGCCCTTTTTTATGCAGGAGAATTATGTGGGACTCTCCCCACTGATTTGGAATGACGCCCGACTTGAGTATGTCGTTAAATATCCTGGTGAGAATTGGAGCCAGTTCCTCTGCCGTGCCCCTCATGAGCTCGTTTGGTATGTTGTCCGGCCCTGGAGCTCTTTCTAGTTTTTGAGAGTGTATGGCTCTCTTTACCTCTGCTATAAGTATGGGCGGTACGTCGTCATATAACTTCTATTTTTTGGCGACTTATCGGTTTCTAATTCATGGTCTTCATCTATATTCGAGTAGAGAGCTTTATAATATTCCGTAGCTAATTTCTGAATTTCTTTACGTTTTGTTACATGACTGGATTTGTTGCTTTTAAGTTTAGGAATCCATTCCTTTCCATGGTCCTTTAACTCCTTGAAAGCTTTTTTCGTTCCGCTTGTTCTTTTAATTGTGTCTTCTAGTTTTTTAATTATTTTTATCTTCCTGTCTTTTCTCATACTTTCCCGTATCTGTTTGCTAAGGTTGGAAATTCTGTTAAGGTTTTCTTTACTTTTATTTTTATTTAGAATTAGTAATTTTCTTTCTTCTAACAGCTCTAATGTTTTGTCACTGAATTTGTTCCTGTTCTTTTTCGTAATTATTTTCTTAATTTCTGATAGTTTCTTGTCCAGGTAATCATATTTAACTCGAACACTTAAATCGGAGTTAGCAATTTCATGCAGTGGCATGATGTGAGCTGATTCAATATTTTTCGAGTACTGTTCTTGTAGCAATATCGGAGTGTTTGTTATAGCTTTCCTCGACTTTTTTGTTGGATACATCTTTAGGCGTCCGCGCACCATTCGGTGGTTAGTGTTGAAATTCAAATTCTGTATAACTTGTGCATCATTAAAATACCTTACTCTGTTTGTTAAAATAAAATGAATTTCGTTTTTTTATTTCCCATCGGGAGACATCCAGGTCCATTTATTTTTATATTTTTTCTTATAGACTGAATTGAGTAGTGTCAAATTATTCTGAATTCTAATAGTCTGTGTCCGTTGGTACTTCTCTTGCCACAGCAGTACTTCCCTAGTACGAATTCCTCTCCTGCTTCTCTGTAGCCAACTTGGGCGTTGAAATCCCCCATGATTACAAGGTTGTTGTTGTAATATTTCTTTGTAATGTCAGATAGGTTGTTATAGAATTCTTCAATGTTCTCCCTGGCGGCTTGTTCGGTAGGCGCGTATACCTGGATGATTGTCCATACTTTCTTGTAGCCCGGTAGTTTCATGTTTAGTATTGCTATTCTGTCTGAAATTCCTATTAGCTCCAGTATGTTTTGTTTTAGGGATAGTTTTATGAGAAATTCTACACTTCTGTGTCCTGCTGTTTCTCCTTTGTGGTATAGGATATAGTTTTCATACTCTTCTATTTTCTCTTCCAGTCTTCTCATCTCACTTATTCCTAAGATATCGTAGTTTATTTTCTCTAGTGACTTTTCTAGTTCCAGCAGACTTTCCTGTGTTCTTAGTGTTCTTGTATTTAGTGTTGCGATGTTGATTGTTACGCGTGATTTTGTTGGAGGGTTTTGGTCTAGATCTCCCACGGGGACCAGCCGTGTTGGGAGACATTTTGTTTGTTGTGGTTCAAAATCTTCTGTTCTAATTTTAATTTTTCCGGTTCTTGGCAGTGTTCTTCTGTGTATGTTTGGTTTGTATAAATTCATTGTATTTGTTTTCCTTTGGTTTGGTGTAATGATGTCAGTTACAAGTTTTTTGGATCTTCGGCTGATGAAACTGTTGGAGCTGGTCTTTTTCGTTCAACATATTTGACTGTGCTGGGTTTAAAAATTTCTTTTGTTGCTGTTTTGTTAGGTGGTTGCAAAGTAATATTGTCTTGTGAGTTAACTTTTTTCTGCGTTGACAAGTTGGGTGAGTTTGAGTCTTCCCTTTTTCTCTTGTCACGGCCTTTATCTTTAGGTTTCTTTACTATTAGTTTGTCGTATTTCAGATAGGCCATGTTTCCTTTTTTTCTTTCCTCTTCTACTTGTGGCTGTAA